AGTCCGTCCGGAATGTTCTAGAATAGGGTAGATCCTTATCGGGTAGAGCTATTTCACGGGGAAGTATGTGTCAGTCCTGATGCGGGGTGTTATGATCGATCCATGACTTTCACTTCTACAGTTTTAGGATAGGCATTGTCTAGGGTGATGCCGATGTGTCGAGGCAGGAAGAGAGCAAGTTCGGATCTACGCGGAGCCTCTGGTACACGACATTGTGAATTTAAACATGTTTCAGACCGGTAGTACCATCGCAATGTCACATTTTGGTGCAGGAAAAGCAGGAAGTTGGACACGTCCTGGAGCAGGCGGTGAGGAATTCCTTTGTGTTCCAAAATAGCTGTCCCTCACTGTCGTCCTTCCAGAAATTGTCATGACTGGTCACGAGGTTGGATGCAAGTGAAGCTAACGTGAAACTTTCCAAAACGTCCTTTCTTCTTCCCTATCGTTTCATTGTCTCCGCATTCGCCGAGTCGATTCGAGGTGGATAGAGTGGACAGCTCCTAGCCTTCAGTTTTGTGCGCGGTGCAATCCCCTCACCTTTCACTTCAACACAATCTCCAACGTTCAGACACTTGATTTCAACTCGTGTCAAATTTGCACTCCTGGAACTCAAATTTTCACAGACCTTTGAGCTGTTTATCGTTCTCCCGCGCGTATTTTCCGATCTCCCGTGCGTCAGTCTGATTTATAGTGAGCCTGCGTTTACACTTTGCGGCTGCGCGGGGAAATGGGAAATCGCCGGTCGACGATTTAGGAGGAAGTGTGCCAAAATAATGGTTGAGTATCGACCCCTCCAGATCCGTTCTCTAGTTTTTCGAGTTTCAGAGAATGCAGGATCCTGCAAAACTCGAATCGCTTGCAACCGTGAATCGATACCTATCAACTCCCATGGGGCACACTCTTGTTTTGTTTTCCGCGTCGCAAAGTACAGATGCATCTCAGCTCATCGCGCTGGTCTCTATTATCTAAACAATGGCAGCATTTTCCATGCCCACGCTGAAAATAATCGTTAGGCTGCGCTTGCGCTTCGCGTCACCTTTTGAGCGTCTGTCCGCGTTTGAGCTACTAGGAAAGTATGGTATCGATCTAGCGTGCCACAATCTGTGAACGAACTCTGAGGTGCAACAATTACGTAGTTGAGGATTAGTAGAAACACAACACGGCAGCGCATACATATGTGACTCTTCCCTTAGCTACGGCTCAGATTCGAAAGAGGAAGACATAGTCCTCACTGAGTTGAAGCCTTTGGAGGGGACACGAAGTGTGGCTGGGTGATTCCCCTGACCACATTAGCGCCTATTATCTGTAATTTATGCATGATGCTAGATATTTAATGTTCTGTGGTCCCAGTCACTTCAAGTAGCATGAATTCGCGATCTGAGTCCTGTGTATGTTATTGTTGCCGGTCTTGTAATTGCGAATCCTTTCTGAGCAGGAATGAAGGGAATCGCGAAAGTATTTGTGCTCTCATCAGTGGCCCGGTAGGGCATGTTCGAACCAGGGTATAGCATCGTTGGGAGTCTCCAAAGGAATTGTTCGCAGTCTATGACTCTGCCACTTGAAAGGCGAAAAGCAATTAGTACGTATCGACGGAGGAATCATCGGACGTTCTGTCGAAACGCCGGCGAAATTGGGCGTACGGCGACAAAGGGTTAGGTGTTTGTCGATTTCGCTGGCTCCAACCGAGAGAAGGAAGTCAGAGTGGGTGGACATACGTTTTGGACCAACCGCTTTACCGAGTCACCTGTTGACAAGTATGTAACCTATTTTGCGAAGGCGCCGGCTTCTTCGTCAACCTGCCCGTTGACCGATATCTAAATTTTTCGCGGTATTTCTTTCTCTGATTCCTGTGGGTCGCAGAACAATGCTCAGCAGGGAATGGGATGAGCTCAGTCGCTGGAGAGGGGTCGTACTGACGCTACAATACTGTATCCTGGTTCGAACATAACGCTGTGAAGAATCGAACTTCTTTTGAAAGAATCGATCGCAAATTGACCGAGGTGATTCCGTGTGAAGAAAATCAAAATCGCTACTTTTCATTCGTTCTCTTTTATTCTTTCCGAGTCGATAGGCGAACAGAGACGAAATGGTTTACGATCTCGTTCGCTGCTGTTGAAGGGGAATGTCAGGCAGGGCACGCCATCGCGTTGTGATCATTTTCTGAAAATTACGACCCCCCTAATTCCATACTAAAATACGACCCCCTTTTTGGGAGTTGGTACGACCCCCCTCCCAGCCCTCTGTCCTTCCTCATCGAACCGAGCCGTCGAGCGGGGGGGGGGGGTCGTCAGAATTAAACTATCATTTTCAAGTGTCGGAAATAGTAGTGCGTCCGTGAACTGACCAAGTACGACCCCCCCCCTTTACAGCGTCCGTGAAACAAGAGAAATCAACTATCAAAAAAATTTTTCTCTGACCAAATACGACCCCCCCTCCCTCGCGGTCAAATACGACCCCCCTTGTGATGATCACAACGATGGCGTACACTGATGTCAGACGGAATGGATTTGGCGCGGCGTCGAACGCATTCTCCAAGAGTTTTTGGAGCGAAGAAGCGGCAAGACTATCACGTACACTCTAGTTCGCTGCAGACGATTGGGCGTGTCAGGCAGTATGAGTGTGTCACCCCGTCAAAGCCGTTCTCCTTCTTGTTGAAGCGCGCATGCGACAAAAATGGTAGATTCGCTTTAACAACTGGTGGAGAACGGGTTTAGCACCGCACCAAACTCATCCCGCCTGACACGCCCAACCGTCCGCAGCGAACTACACTATATCTGTCGTTTTTCACCAGTTGCTGACACTTACCCGCAGCAACTGGTGGAGAATGAGTTTGGCGCCGTGCCAAACTCATTCCTCCGGACACCTCCTTTATCCGCGTGGACAAGACTGTGCAGCCTCCATATCGTATACCTTCAGTGTATGTAACTTGCAAATTCTTGTGGAAACAATGCTTGTTGCCAAACAGAGTCACGTTGCTGCATTGATCGGACCAATTATTTCCTTAGTCCGTGAGCAGAGTGTTGACGTCTCTGTACTACTATTAGGCTGTCTTCATACGCTATGATCACCGCCAGCGTCGACGTAGCCGACGTAATCGGCGACAGAAGGTTAGGTACGTATCGATTCGACCTAGAATATATAGGGTATGGCGACTACGTCGGACCGATAAGTATCGAAACTTCTGTCGCCGGCTTCATCGACTACCTCGACGAAGATGTAAGGTATGAATGCAAGCTTATGGTTACTCATTTTCCATGTTACGTTTGATAGTTCGTGTTATGTCCACTGTTCTGGTTTTCACGATTCGGTGCTAATAATCTTGTAGTGGGAACCTCCAAGGTGGACGGACCGATTTCATGCATGGAGATAGCATTTGCATTGCGAGAACTTCAAACTCGCACATAGAGTCGTTTGAGTGCCCTGCCAAGGTCCTTACACCTCGGGTCGTCAGCTGATCTCGTCCACATACTTCCGGTGCTCTCCGTCCTCACTGTTCAGCGTCAATATTTCGTCTTCTACTAAATGGAACAAATTCCTTGTTCGGTTTTTTCTTCTTGTCTCAACCATGCTCACCAAAACAATCCACACTTGTCCACTTCTACTAGGCTGCGACAAATCCATAATTGCCAGATTTTGGTATTTGGTGAGCTTGTGTCCTATGATTCCGCGCGTATCGCAGAACTAGAGAGAGCTGAGCGAGAAGGAACCAATACAAAACTTGAAGTAATTCTCCTTTCATGCGCGTGGGGATGCGACATTGGTCAAAAACCATCAAAAAGCAAGGGCCTGTCTGCCGCGAAAAATCGCCGAACAAGCAAGAATGTGATGGGAATGGGAGTTATGGGTGCAGTTCCATCGTCTGCTTCCGTTCGTGCTTCAGCTCAGGTATTTCATAGTTTTTTTTCCCAAGAATACAGTATTTTTAGGCTTATAACTTGGGGAGGGGCACTCTACAGCACCGGACTTGCCGAGGCTTCGGATTAAGACGCAGACCGTCAGAATCGCTTAGAACGCGTTCATACTTCGCGATCGCGCGATCCAATGGAGCAATCCGAGCGCACCACCCAATCGTGCGATCGCGAAGTATGAACGCGCTCTTAGCCCGCATTCAGACTTTGCGATCACTCGACCGGCTGACTCGGTAAGATTGGCACTTTGAGAGAGCGGTCTAGTTTGAACTGCCGTTGCGCGGCTCACGCTTGGCGGTGGAACCACCGCTCGGCGGTGGAACCCACCGCTCGTGGCCGCGCGATCCTATTGCGAACTTTGAACACGGCCTAGTAGTGACTGTGTTTGCTCTTAGCCAAGCCCATGTCTAACAAGGGAAGGATACCAACTCGTCCTGGCCATTCAGAATGAGATGTATACTCCTAGAAGCGTCTTCGGACGCTGATATCAGATCTGACTTCCAAATCTGCTAAACGATTCTGGGTGAGGAGTTACGGACCTTTTTTGCTACTGTGCTTAACCATTGCGGTGCGCCCCCCTGCTTATGCTTCGCGCTTGTAAACCCTTCGTGACCCAACCGCCATCGTGGCTCGGTGGCGCAGTAGGTAAGTGGATGGACTCACAGTCGTGCGATGGGGGTTCGAGTCCTTGATGCGTTTCGTAGTTTTGCTTTTTCTTGAAACGTGCGCTCAACACTTGGGAAGTAGTTTTGCATACCTGTCCGACCACCAAGACAACTCCCTGCTCTTTATTGAGCCCCGCGAACGATTTTCGTGAAAAATTACACTTCTACCTAACTCGTTCATGCAAGGGACCAAATACACATGCATATCTGCCTGAAGTACGTGATCTGCGAAATTTCACCATCCTATAAAATGACGTGTGTGGGCAACGAAAGTTTCAACATGTTCGGTAGCTCTAATCACCCACGCACACAATATCAGCCAACACCTCTGCGACCGTGCCTACCATAACTAAAGTAATATTAGGCACTGTTGAACCACTCCTACCCCAGAAAGCTCAAAAAAATTTTATCGCTGAATGTCTACAGATGCAGTTCTATGCCCTGATCACGGTTTTAACCCTCGTTTCGAGCGCTGGCGTCATTTGGCGCCATTATGCACCAATTTGGCGCCCACCACTTTTTTCCTCCAAAGTTGATGAAAACTTGCATATGGGGGTTAATTGAGGTCCTGATTAAGAATATCCCACAGGTTTCCAGCGTTGGCGCGATTTGGCGCCATGATGCGCCAATATGGCGCCAAATGGCGCCAAATCGCACCAGCGCCTAGCGCGAATGCTGGTTCCGTAATCAGGACCTCAATTAACCCCCATATGCAAGTTTTCATCGACTTTGGTGAAAAAAGTGGTGGGCGCCAAATGACGCCAGCGCTCGAAACGAATGTGATATTCGTGATCAGGGCATCGAATTACACCTATAGGCAACGTTTCAGCGAAAAAGGTTTTTTGAGTTTTCTGGGGTACGAATGAGTGTCAATGTCAATTACGAGGTTGTCGACACACTGTACGACAACCTTGCAATTGACTGCGAGGAAGATAGCTCGTAGAGGACGACAATACGGATCCTCTCTGATCACGTGTGATGGCGATGAAGAAAGTTCCCTAGGAGCTAGAAGAACAGCTACGTCACTTTGGGGATGTAAAGGTCCCGATAGAGAAGGTAGTTCGCTTGTACCCATTGCCCACTTATGGACTTCACTTTATACAAGTCCATATCAAGTATGCGTGTGGTTTAAGTGAATGAAGCCATTGCCTTCTACCGTTCGAGTGCGAAAAAAGTCGCATTAATTACAAAAATATGCGTTAAATAAAGCTGCCATACCAACGCTATGAAAATGAATGCTTTCACTGAAGTCAAAATGAAACCCCTCTCAAAATTCAGACATAGGGTCTAATAAGCAGCAGGGAGGGGTCTTGGTGGTCGTACAGGTATGCAAAACTACTTCCCAAGTGTTGAGCGCACGTTTCAAGAAAAAGCAAAACTACGAAACGCATCAAGGACTCGAACCCCCATCGCACGACTGTGAGTCCATCCACTTACCTACTGCGCCACCGAGCCACGATGGCGGTTGGGTCACGAAGGGTTTACAAGCGCGAAGCATAAGCAGGGGGGCGCACCGCAATGGTTAAGCACAGTAGCAAAAAAGGTCCGTAACTCCTCACCCAGAATCGTTTAGCAGATTTGGAAGCCAGATTTGATATCAGCGTCCGAAGACGCTTCTAGGAGTATACATCTCATTCTGAATGGCCAGGACGAGTTGGTATCCTTCCCTTGTGAGTAAGAAGACAGGGCTACGGACGGGTACTGCACGGATACGTTGGGGCCTATTTTGTTCAGCTAATCTGAATCTGCTTTTATTTCTTTTTCAGGACGGCCTGTATTTACTTTTCTTTCAGGGTGGGCCAAATGTCGGCGGAAAAAACCAACGCACCTTTGTTGGAGTGGTCACTAAAATGCATGACAATTATGGATTTGTTGACGATGACGTGTTTTTCCAACACTCGTATGTTATTATTTTGACTCTGCTAGACCTTGACCAACGATATTTATTGCAGGGTAATCCGTGGGACTCTACCTCGCGTAGGTGAGAAAGTAATGGTTGAAGCGAGCTACAATCCGCAGATGCCGTTCAAATGGAATGCATATCGAATCCAGCTTTTGAATTCCGGAGATGGTGCTGGCTCACAGAATCACTCTGCTCAAGCTCGTTCTGGTGGCTCTGGTGGAAGGTGCGAGTGCATTTCGAGGCAGCATTCATAGTTTGCGATAACGCGCTACAATTGCAACATCGCTCTAAGGCTATAGTCGCGAAGGCAGCTGCAGAGAGGGTTCGATCGCGCCGGTCGCTTGTGTATTGAGAGAGTACGGGAACAAGAAGCCTAATCACACATCTGCTATCGATTGGTGCTGGCCCCTAGGGCTTTGGAAGGGTATAAAAGGATGAGAGAGTACTAGATTGTGTGAAAGCAACGCTTTCCTAACAGTTGTCCTACACCCTATCAAAACATAAACGGCTGCCGCCGATCGATTCCTATCGCTTGTGTTTTGAAAAGTAGAGGATAAAAGAAGGGCAAGCGCTGCCATCACACCCTCTCCCTTCTCTCTCATTCTTGTAGACTCTTTGAAAGTTCCAGAGGCCAGTGCCGATCGATACCAGACTGCATGATTTGGCAGTGCGTGTCCTGATACTCCCCTATACTCTCTCTCAAAACATAAGCGACCGATGCTGATCGATTCCCGTCTGCTGGCTTTCGCGTCTGCATAAACATTGACATTCAAGCTTCCCCAGTGAAGAAAACGCTTAGCATGCCACTTGACCCGAAATTCATTTAGATGGGGTCCACCAGCGTCTGCTGAACGCAATGGACGTGGATCGCCTCCGCGTCGTCGTTCTCCGCCTCGCCGCAGTCCTCCTCGTCGAGCGCCAAGCCCTCCGCGTAAAGAGGTGCCACGTAGAAAGTGAGTTTCTAATCTGGGGTTTCTGCCACCTCTCAATTCATTGATAAGTTTATTTTGTCGGATGGCTTAGTAATGATAGTTGATTGTTTCCTTCGAAGGTCACCACCTATGAGACGTTCTCCACCAGCTCGTAGACCATCTCCAATCCGTAGTGACCGGGATCGTAAGCGTGAGCGTAGCGCTAATCCACCGAGCTCTACTCAGTCAGCAAGAAGAGAGAGTGCCAGCCCACCTCGACGACGTGCACGTATCATTCCTCGATATGAATGTCATCCTCCTCGCGCTGTTCTGCTTAGGTGAGTAAGCTACAGCTTTCTGTATGCAAGATGTGATGTAGTAGAGGCTGTTTTTTTAGTGAGCAAGTGTCAGTCGTTGGCTTGCGTAGTCGTTACGCCAAGCTCTACATTCCATCCGATTTTGCTGACATGACCGCTGAATGGGTGAAGCGGGTGCCAGTAGATGCTGCGATTGATCTAACTAAACCGGTATTACACCGTCTTTGAATATTTTGTGAAATATTGCAATTTATTAGAGCAGTTAGGCAGTATTCCATCACGAATAGGTGAAGCAAAAGCCATCTTTCCAGGTTGCTTTCCACGTATTTAACAAAGAAGTGGACAATCCGCTTCTAGAAGGAGAACCTGAGGTGGTTCTCGAGTCGGAGGACGCTGATCATCGCCATCAAGTCAAGGTGGGGTTCGGAGTTTGTCCCAATGAAGGACGAACCTCGCAAAAGTGTTTTGTACTTAGGTACTCCTGCTGGCACATCCTGGGAGACAAGAGGTGCACAAGAAAGCGTTTGGACTTCTTCCCGATGGTTCAACTGATGACATGCACGAGCCCACTCCATTTGTGAAACAGCTTAGCTTCCTAGTTGGTAAGTCCGATCGAGGTTTCTCTTTGGGAAGACGCAAGAGTTTTTGAGCACTGGTCCAATATGGGTTTTTAATCCAACGAGACGATTTTAGTGTTGCGCGCTTCAAGGAAGTTGCATGAAAGAAATCTCTGAGGGAATCGCATTTTACAACTTAAGATTTCTCACGAGTTATTCAAGTATTCGTTCTGGGCGGCTTTTCTTAGTATTCGGGGATTGAACAATGTTCAGGCTTTGCGGTGACACGCGTTGACGCTCTACAATTATTGGTCGTTGAAGCGCGTTGTCGCGAAGTCCGAACGCTACCTGAAGACTTTCGCTCATTGGAAAAGAACACCACTGTGGGCAAAACAGCTTCTTCATCCAGAATTGGTTCTCACCTTCCGTGGGAAGTGGATCACCCTTCCTGAAGCTCCTTTTCCTTTCGCACCAATGATCTGTCATGGAGCGTAGCTATTCTTATTAACGTATTGACCTGAGAACCTCTACTGGACTATCTCCCGCGTTTAGACTTCGCGATCGCGCGATAGGATCGCTCGAGTGTGTCGCGCGACAACGTTCGGGGGCGCTCCACCGCCAAATGGTGCATCACCCCAACGGCACAACTCTAAGTGTCGCTGTGTGAAAGCGGCACAATTTTAACTCTGCCGTTACAGCGGCGTACCGCGTGGCCTTGGAGCGCCACCGGTCATAATGGCGCGATCGCGAACTCTGAACTTACGCCCGCTCTTATCTGATCTCTTTGCTTTTTAAGGAACTCGAGGAAAAGAACCGTTGGCTATTGGAGGTAGTTGGTCTCCATCACTTGATGGTGCTGATCCGACGAATCCGTCCACTATAATTCGTACTGCTATACGTACAACTATGGCACTCACAGGAGTTGACCTATCTGAATGTCCGCAATGGTGAGTGATATTGTTTCCCGTCGAACGCGAAACGCCTCCACAGTATCCTCCGCTCCTTAACGTTCTGTTCTGTTTGTTTGCTGCGCCATACGCGTTGCGACTACCGTATCTCACTAGTCTGATATGACTTGGGACGGTCGCTCATCTCTGTGTGTATTGCCAGTTCTTGGAGACGGTCGCAGGCGACGCATTGACTCGCATCTTCTCTTGCCTCGTTGATCCGTATTTTACGCTCATCAAGTTTCGGCTTTGAGCGTATAGGTATGTCTGTGGGCTCTCTGACTCGATCTATTTCCTACACAGGTACGAGCTGGTGCACGTGCGTTATTACCGCGCCGATCGTGATCGCACGGATAGCGTGCGTCTTCTGTTCCCGGACACTCAACTGCTTCTTGCCGATGCTGACGACTCATCGGCTGATGAACGTTGGAACGAAATACAGGAAGCATTACGGGAGCAGCTGGAGATGAAGTTGGCTGCTGTGGATGCACCGCCTCCGGAACCAGAACAGTCAACGGCGGAGGAGACCGCCAAGGACAAGGAAAGTCGCGAGCGTACTATGCGCCAGGCACTCTTTCACTATAGATTAATGTTGTGCGTGTTTGTGTTCATGTGTTTGTCTTGTGTTTGTTTTGCGTTCCCTAATACCAAACCCCCATGCTTTTTTTCTGCGGAATTCATCATTCCGGCGCCGAAAACAAACTTAACACTGCGTCGATTTTGTTCAAAGTAGATGGCAACGCTTTAACAAATTTTTAACGTAAACTAATCACCTCCCCTCCATGTTTTTGTTTAACGTTAAGTATTAGTCTCCAGGTGAGGTCTGATTCCTATCTCTTATAATTTGAATTTATATTCATTCTTGAGAGTTGTAAAGTGAGTGTTTTTATTTCGAAGTGTTCTAGTTCAGTATGCTTTAGGGTTCTACAGCTACTCCTTCAAAAGAAGCAAAATCTGTTAAAGAAGAAACACCGGGAAAAGATGGCGAAGAGGGCGAAGGTGCGGAGGCAGTGGACACGCCAACACACTGGAGCAAGTTGGATCCTAAGATGCTCAAGGTGGCCGTATCAATATCCGTTTGACTTACAGCGAGGGATGGGAGGTAGGAGTGGCCTGAGATGTATACTGGATTGAGGGTTTCTGAACGGGGAACACGAAACCGACTGTTATATTTGCTGCGAGTCTCCGGAACAATTACGAAGCTTTTTTGGGAAGCGTACCCGCATGGAATACGAACGAGAGCGTAAGAATATCTCTTTGTAGCAGCAATGCGGTGTGGTTAGGTGGTAGGCCCTGCTTGTGCATGGTCGAGGGTTTGAACCCTTGCTGCACATTCCCCTTGCATTTGTTCGGCATTGGTCTCTGTGCAGGAAGCATTTTTTTTTCTGCATTACTCTTATGCTTGATAATGGCGTGACGTAATGTTTTTGAAGATATAAAGCCATCGTTGAGGAATCCATGGGGGTTTTTGTTAATTCAAACATGTGAAAATGAGTTCATCAAAACAAAAGAAAAAATGATGAACCGGAAATGTTCCCATAGAATTGCACAAATGCTCCATTCCTTCAGAAACATTATCTCACGGCATTAGCACAAAAGCTATGTATCAGTGTTTTTGAGTGCACACTGACCGCTGCTGGAGAAATGCAAAAGGGAACATGCATCAAGAATTCAAACCTAGATGACAGACCACAATACCCCCTTATTCGTATTGAGTGTGAGTATGCTCCCCCTAAAAGAGCTCAGTAACTTTATTCTGGGAGATCCGCAGCAGGCATGAAAGTCGGTTTCGTAATCCCCGTCGAAGGATCTTTCAGATCACGTCGGCTTACTCCTCATTTCAAATGGCCACTTCGACCTACCACCCTCGTTCTTGGATTTCTGAAATGTCTAATTTTCATGTTTCTTGATACATGTTCTATTTTAAGGTCCCTGAATTGCGAGCTGAACTAGAAGCACGCGGTCTAGAAACAAAAGGTGTCAAGTCGCTGCTGTGTAAGAGGCTGCAAGAAGCTCTCGATCAGGAGAAAGAGAAAGAAGAAGGAGAAGGAGCTGCTCCTACTGGTGACATAGAAATGACGGATGTTGCTGGAGAAGATGATGAAGCTGAGAAGAAAGAAGTGCGTTTGCATTTTAGCGACTTGAATGAGTTATGATTTTAATCAAATGCTGTTTAAGGAAACTACAACTGACAGCAAGGCCAAAGAAAAGAGTGAGGCTGAGCAAAAGAAGTTGGCGGAAGAAGAGAAGAAAAAAGCTGAGAAGCTGGAGAAAGAGAAACAGGAACGCAAGAATGCTCTTGAAAGACATTACGCAATGCCTAAGGAGCGAAAGGTGAGCGAAGAAGGGGTTTCAAGCCATGACAGAAGTAATCTAGCAACTTGTTGGTATTGGCCATGCTAAAAGGCGACGTAAGAGACAAGGGTGGGTCAAAAAGTCGGCTTGAGTCAAAGTGGTTCGATGTCTTGAAAGGGTGATATTGTGGGCAAAGTAATACGGTTTCGCTCTTATCCTGCTCAGATCTCCTTGGTGATAAGGTAGTAGAAGAGGTGGCATGCAGTGACCTACTATGGCTATTCTTGTTAGACGCCTTGCCGTTGAGAGGAAATTTTGCAAAACGAGATCTTTCCTCAAAATGTACTCCTCTGATGCGTCCCTATCCCCCATCCTACTTGCCATCTTCTTAAATTTTCCCGTTTGCCCACTACTTTTCCGGAGATTTCTCCGAAAATTGCACTACGTTTTTTCCTAGTGGAGTAGGGGTCTAGTATGCATAAAACAGGAAAAAACCTGGAGAAATCAACAACCGAAGAAATTTCCACAAAGCAAATACAACCTTCCCTTCTACCTCCAGCTACCAGGTAATGGGCCCTTCCCTCGCCGGGGATCTTCGACGATCGATCGACGGTCTGATTCGTGTGCAGCTCTTCCCCCCCCCCCGGATGAAGATCTCCTGCTTGCACAGTCTCAGTTTAAGAATAGCTCTGACTTGCGGTCAAACGTTACCTCGTGGCACCGTCATGTTATTTCGATTCGTCCTACTCCATGTGCGCATGTTTAGGTGCTCGTATTCCCTTCGAAGACGGCTAAAGGTGGAAAGTTCGATTGCAGAGTGATGAGTATGCACGCTCTGCTTGATTATAGACAGGATGACAATAAGGAGGCTCATTTTGAGGTAACTGCCTTGCATTAGCATTGTTTTTCGGAGGATTTTATCTGTGGGACGCACTAATTCTAGATTATGATTCACAAACGTGCAAGTTCATTTTTTTCTTGTAGGTATCCTTGTTCGTAGAAGCCTTCAAAGAGTTGCTTGAACGCCATGCAGCTTTTACCATCTACTGCGCTGTTGCCCGCGCTGCCGACAAGGAAAGCGAACGCAAGAGACGAGATGAAGCTAGGGAGAAGAAGGAAGAAGAGGTAAAAGAAAAAGTTTTTTTAGGTCGTGCAACTACTGAGTCTGAGAGTATTCAAAGGGTAAAACATCGGTAAACATACGCGGCGCAGTTTATCGACGGGGGGGGGCATTTTGCTTTCCATAGATGTGTCGACCCATCTAGGTAGCGTTTTCTTGAGTTGACACGTTTTGGGATGGTGGCTAGACGATCCTGCTCCAGCTTTACAAGCGTTCACAAGTTTTACCAAAGTGAGATTTGCAAACCGGAGCAAGGGAAGCAGTGATAGTACAAAATGCCCCCCCGTCGATAAACAGCGCCAAATATTCTTGTGCTTGGAAGCGAGAAGAGGAGAAGAAAGACGAGAAGAAAGGCGAGAAGAAGGAAGAGAAGAAAGAAGAGAAGAGGAGGGAGAAATTGGATTTGAAATCGATGGTATCGAATCGTCCTCTCTTCGAAGCATTTGCAATGTTCGACGTTAATTTGTGCGGGTTAGTTGTGCTTTCAGTGTGTTCGCAAACGTAAGCGTAGGGATTCTGCAAAGTTCATAGAGAGTACAATTATGATTTCAGTTATCTTAACGAGCGCGATTTGGAGGACATCATTTTCAACAGTGAATTAGGTGTCACTAGAGCTCAGATGCAGAAGATGACGCATAAGTTGATGTCTCGGGAGAAAATCAATTACAGGTACTGAACTATGGCTTAATTTAGTGCATACTCATAATCTCGAAGTGCTTATTCGGCATCTTCGAAACTGTTAATGTTCAGACACTTGACCGACGTCTTGGTGGACTCTGATGGTGCTGTTAGATTCACACCTGGCGAATGTGAGAATGCGCCCGAAATTTCAACGCTTCTCAAAGGTTCAACATTTTTGCTGACAATTTCTTTTAAAGTTTTTTTTAATCTCGTTACCGGAAAACTACCATTTAGGTTGCGGTCTGCAAGCATTCAAAAACTCGCTTCCTCAAACGAACGGTGATGTACACGTAAGTTTCCTTTGTATATTGCCTTAGGCAGCATCCAGACTTCGCGATGACGCGTTGTAACGCGCGTCGACGCGCGACAGTTGTAACAACGCTCCAGTGCTAGAAGGCAACCGCAGACCGGACTCGATAGGCGCCGGCCGCTTGTGTTTTGAGACGGTATGAAGCGTGCGCCTTGCATAATCGAACATTGGTATCGATCGGGACAGGCTGCTAGGGCGTGGGAAAGTATAGAGGAGTAGGAGGGTACCACGTTTCAGGGGACTTGTCAACCGGGGAGCCTCTCTTCTCTTTCCCTTTTTCTTCCTCCTTCCTTCTTTTCCTTCCTCCCTTTCTCTGATCTCTCCTCCTTTACCTTCTTCCGCGAAGTAGTGGATGGTAGATGCCTGTACCCCTGGGCCCTCGCAGCAAGAGCACGTCCAGTTGACAGGATAATCTAGGAGTACCCCAGACTGTTGGAGGCAGCGCCTACCCTATTAATCTGCACTCTCGTCTAAAATACAAGCGCCGGTGGACGGCCGTTCCGCGTACTAAATAGGATACAAGCTGGCCGTTGGACGGCCCGTATGTGGCTGGCCGTTCGCGTCTACCGCGTGAAGTCTGAACGCCTCATTTACTGAGCGGGCGTGTCGTTTTGTATCCTATTTGCATATTGCTCTGCACAACAGAGATTTTCAGATGTCCGAATTTGAGGGGACAGTGGTCATCAATGGTAACGTCGTCAATGTAGCCCAAAAGCTGGCGTTGTTGAAGAAGAGCGAACAAGAACGCGACCAGGCCAAAAGTTTGGTGGCCGAACACACTGCACTCATTGGTTAGCCTTGATCACTTCGCTACAACATTATGAAAGCACTTTTTACTTTTTTCCTTAAGAACAACTTCGCGGGACGAAGCACGACCTCGAGAAGAAAATCAGAGATCTGGAAAGGGACCTTGAAAAGAACCGGAAGCGCTTGGACGAGAGCAACAGTGCCCTCAAGGTACAATTGTGCACAGGTTTTGTCTAGATAGCAAGACTAGGTCCCTGATCATTTGGTTTCAGTCCTCCTTGGATTCGAATATTTCGCTCAAGAACGGATTATCCGATTGTAAGAGATATGCTGATCGTATTTTATCAGCTGTGGAAAGAGCCTGCCCACCACCACCTCCTCCACCAAAGCGTGTCGAGGAACCCAAGGTAACGCTCCTTTCGATTTGTTCATATTTTCTGATGTCGTATTTTGTATGTTTTAGGTAGAAGAGCCCGTTGCTGAGGCCGTAGATGATGCCGATGAGCCAATCCCTGCAGAAATCGTTCTCACCGAGGAGGTTGGAGCAGAGGAAGACACTGAAGAAAAGGCTGCGGCATAGGGTGGTCGTCGTCTCTATTTGTTAATTGATGGTCTCGTATTTCTATTCCTATTATTGCTCTCATTTTTGAGTTTGGTTTTGCTGTTAACGTGTTCTTTTTGCTGTTTTTACTTTATACTCAATGTGTTTCTTGTAGTGAATAGGAGGTTCAACCCTGTATCATTGATATCTTTCTTGCACTGCTGGCAATTCAATACAACACACAGATTCGTAGTGGCATATTATTCGGAAGTGTAGTATAAAAGCGCTTATCTCGTCGTTGATTCCCCCAACCCACATATTTATTGCCTACAGCTCGATTGAGGAATGTGTTATATAAAGGATAGTCGTTGAATTAAAAGTTCGTTATCCAATTGTTTCTTGATTTGTTGGAAATGAACCATGGAAAGATGCACATGAACTGACAGACATAATAGAACTGGCTTGAAACCGGTTGTCGTTCTTCAAATGCGCCAGGAATATTGCACGACTAGGCAAAGTTCAGACTTCGCGACGCGCGTCGACGCGCTGCAACGCGCGTTGTCGTGGAGTCTGGTCGCTGCCTTACATGAGGCATTGTGTCACCTTGGCGAACTCGCCGCATCACCGGAAAGACCTAAATGATGAGCACCGACAGGGAAAGGCGACGAACTGGGCGGGCGACATCGGCGCACACGAAGAAAGGGGTGGGTAAGTACAGATTCCGATGACGCCCCATGTAGACAATGAGAGAGCTGGCGTGATATGCATATAACCTAACGCACGTCCGATAAAAGCTCCGGTCAATCGGATCTTCTCTCGTGGATCCAGAGGAATTTTTCATACCATACATGCTGGCCGAGCATTCGAAGGGGAAGGATAGGAAAA